TATATATGCACTGTATATACAATGTACCAGTGTATGCAGACACTAAGTGTTGTAGTCTATTGCATTTGTAGATTTCTGATATTGCTGACATGACATGCATTGTCAATAGCTTACACATTTGATTGTGTATATTACACCACAACAATTGTGTATTGTTGATTTTGTTCTAATATCTTGTATATGATAATGCTGTTGTATTCTAATGATGGTGCAGTATTTTATCTCTTGTTTTGATACTGTCTCTGCAGCTTTCTGACATGATGTTTCTCAGTGGGGACAAAACCTTGACAGAGTATTTTGTACATGTTCTGCTCTTCCTGACAGTTTGAGGATTAGATTTTAAAAGTCCAACTGCTTTTTCCTACGGACTTCAGATTTCTTCCAGCGGTTCACTCATTTGTAGTTATGCTCCTCTGTGCTTCCAAGACAATCCACTAAAGAGGGACTGTGTCAGTTAATGGTGAGAATGGGTAGACATGACTGTTGTGTTAATAATATGTATCACAGTTCATTTGTGTGTACTAGAACACTTGTATGCTTTACATTGTCAACTACTTTATCCTGTCATTTCGACTTGGGAGAAGAATTAGTTGCTTTTATGTTGGTTTTAAATCAGTTTAAGAACCTCCTTTTTGAACCTTAAGAGTGAGTTCTAACATTTAACAAGGTCAAAGATTTCACCTTTCACCATTCATCACTGGGTAAATGTGAGATCCCAAGGCTCAGGAGGAAACAATGGAAACCGAATAGGGTTAGTGGAAGGTTAGGTTCAGAATCGCATTCTACAGGGAAACAAACTTCACTTCCTCCAGATTCTACTCCCAAGCTTTGGGGTCTAAAGCTAACCTTCATCCAAGTATCCTAAGTAATACCAGAATGTGAACGAACCAAGTGCTGCATTGTACATATCCATGCATTGCCCCTAATATCCCACCAGAGGGCGAGCTGTCACACCTCATCTCTACAGTCACAGACTCATTCTGTCAAAAAGCATGATTTTAACACGTTAGTACTATTGTGTTCTGTAGCATCTTGTACATTGGCATGCAGAAAGCAGGAAGCCTAGAAATGTAATTCTAATCCAAGATAGTTTTTCACCGATGCACTATTCATCCTACAACTCACAGCCAAAGACAGATGTTTGTTACTCTAAACTTCTCATTTATCAGCATCAGAGATTCTTTCACCTCTGCCTGACTGCAGACCATTTCACACACAGGACTATGCCTTTTATTTGTTTAGAAGAGCTAGATTCATTGGAAATGTTTGATGACAGTTGGCATTTTGCAAGCCAGAAACACTGGATACAGGTTGTATCCAAGTTGAAGCCTTTGTGTTGGTTTATACAGTGTGGTACAGGAGCCGCACACTAACTTATTCCTGCAGTGCTCGTCAGTGAGCCACATCCACTTCATCTCCACCACGTCAGCCCCTATTTATGGTGTCAGTGTGTCTGAAGTGTCTGCCAGGTTCTGTAAATCTCAATGATGCATGACCTTTCCACACAGAGGGGGCGTTGCCACC